AATATACTGCAGCGAGTTAATATACACTTTTAAAGCCTTTAGACTAGTACCTGAAGCATAGTAAATACCACAAAAGAGTTAGTTCTTAATCTTTTTACTAGAAGAAGGGAATAAATCCCTTTCTGTGAAATTCTTTCATGCACATATACTTCACGGAAATGGAACTGCCTGCCTGTACTGATGGGCTCCGAAGTGGTGCACGTACTCAGCTCCTTAAGCCTCTCCTTTGGTAATCTCTCCCTACCTGATGTAGTTCATGGTGTCTCTGTGTGTTTGTTCCAGTCAAGTACAAGGCTATCTCCTTGTTCCTGCTTATGTCAGGGACACAGAGACACAGGGTGGTCTTTATGTGCTGGAGTGAAGACATGTCCAACCTAGAATGAAAGTGAGGCAGACCTTATTAAACTTAGGATAGACATTTGATATTCTCAAGCTCGATAAGCATGTTTAATGTCATAGTTATTTTGCTATTTTAATGGTACCTACTTCTGAGACAATGAGAATATTTTACAATTATAGTAGTTTCTATTTCATAGAATACTCAAAGTGTATGTAGAAATCAGGTAATATTAAATAATAGGATTTCACAGTTTCAGATGCCTTCAGTTCAAGAACTTAAAAAGATGGGCTACTGACAGCCAGTTTTCATTATCTTTTTTTTCTTTAATATGGTGCTTTCTGGTGGGAACTTCTGTTGTATTTTGCTTTGGTAGATAGTATTTAGTCAGAGGACTGGCCTTACATTCAGGTAACTTGTTTGCTAAAGTTAAATTTATCTTTATGTAACCTTGACACATTTCTTAATTTCTCACTCTCAGTGAAAATGCTGGAAATCCTCTCCCTTAGTAAACATATCCAAAATTGGATGACACTGTATAAGGTATATATCCTTGAAAGAAAGCCAGTGTAAAAATTTAAGATAGTTATTATAAAGTGTCAGTAACTTCACAACCTAAAACTTAATTGAGACTTAGTTCAAAGTCTGAAATCTTTCAACTTCCTGAAAGTGTTAAGCAAAATAAAAGCTGAAATTTGGTGGTAGAATGGGACAGAAGAAAAAAGGGAGGATGTCCGTTCAGCTGTAATCATAGGCATGGGCCATGGTTTTACTTTTGCTTTTATTTAGCTTTTACTGGAAAAGACTATGCAGAAAGATACTTCTATTTATTTTTGCTATTTTCATTTTCATAACTTTTTATGGCCCAGCAAAAAGAAATACAGTAACGTTTTGGAAATAGTTTGCCTTAAGGGGAACTTACAAATTTAACAACACCTAAGTACGCCAATTCTTTATGCTATTGCTAAGATTTATGAAAGACAAATACAAAGAAAAAAGACAAATTGCAAAGTTAAGCTTTGTTATTTAACAGCTTGATTGTGGTAATTCTGGGTCATTTGCAGAACATTTCACTTTTCCTTTTTTTCACACATCTGACTTTCATTATAACAACTTTTCATTGTGAGCAATGTTATAAATTTGAATCTGGGTTCTGCCATTCAGTTGGCATGTGCTGTGACCTTAAAGCAAATCACTTTGTCCTCTTTTCACTCTGGAGTTTCCCTCTGTAAAATGAGAATAATAGTGCACTCCTCATTGGCTTGCTGCAGGGATCCATATATTGGATGTCAGGCACAGCATGTTTGACAAATGCCCACTATCGTTACTGTTAAAGATAATTAAGATCAAGAAGACAGTGATACAGGGTTTATAGCCTTGTGACCTGTGTCTTTTCTGATTAAAATATTTCTAGAAAGACTTGCATAACATTGGTAAGCTTAAAGACAGGTAAGCTCCTGTTGACAGAATAATTCACTTTGTGGCCCACTCCCCATCTAAGTGGCTGAGTAAACTGTTGCGGTAATAATCCCCTGGGAAGAGCATATTAAGACTGCCCCATCCGCTAAGGATTTGCCATCAATGATAGGAATTGTAGGAGAAGTGAAAAATTCCGTTTCTGGGGTAATGTATGTGTGCTGAGCACCCCTGCTTTCACTGCTCCCCTTCTAATGCTCTGCCCACCAAACACAGTCAGAACATCTGCCCTTCCTTTTAAGTGTTGGGGCTTTTTTAAAACACTGGGTTCTGGATTTTCCTAATTTTTTCTCGTTACATATCCAGCATTTGGTGGAGAAGATGGGGCAGGTTTTCATTCATCAGATTTATTGAGTTGTTCTTGTGTGCCAGGCAGTGTCCTAGGCTTTCAGGAGTCAAGAGTGACTGTGTCCTCACAAGGTACACCAACAACAACAACAAAAAAGGAGCAACAGTGTAGTAAGGGCTAGGAGAGAGTTCAGGCTCAAAAACTGGGAACACAGATGAGGAATGAGAGTAAGAGGTAGAGCCAGAAGGGTTCAGTTAGGAAATCAGTAAGGACTTAAAAGGTTTCTGGGCAGACAAGGAGGTTCTTTAAGAAGAGAGAACAGCAGAGAAAAGTATTTCTTTGCTAAATGCATGGGGTGTTAATTTAGGTCAGTATTGACAGCTCTTTGAGGGCAGGGACTATTCCCATCAACTGACGGAGCGGTAGGAGTGATCGCTTCTCCTGTTAGTCAAGACACCTATAGGAAACTGGGTTTTCAACAAGGGTTATAGATGGAAATTAAGTTGCCACTCTTTTTGTCCCTATTTGTTTATAAACATTGGTCCTAGACATTCCTCCTTGGGAATTTCTCTGTGCTTACTTTTCCCAAAATAAACTGAGTATTTAAGGCTATTAATGACTTGTTACCTTTTATTAAGGATCATTATTATTTCTATGACATGGAAATATTAAAATAGACAACATTAGGAGATACCTTTGACTTGATGTAAGAAGGTTTTTAAGAATGTTTGGTTGTATACTTTTATACAGGGTACGTTTTAAGCCTTAATTTGAAGTAAGTTTCCAGTTATTACAAGCCACTTAGCATCTGTTAGATTTGGTAAAGGATATTTCATTTAAGAGAGAAGACTATTTTAATAAGCTGTTTTCTTTTATGGAGTTTTAGATTTAGCCACTGGACATTTCTCTGTTGTTAGTTACTTTGTCATTGATCTACTCACTAAAACTAGATAATCTTCATTTTGGCTAAATTATTAATCCTATTCACTGTCATCTTTGCTTTGTTTTCCTATTAAAATTAGTAATGTATATATAATCATATGATGATAACATTACCACTTGTTTCCTGATTTTGAATGTTAATGCCCTCTTATTTTTATTCATTAAACTTTGTGGTTACAAAATAGTCCTAGTATAGGATTGCTAAAGTTAGTTGAAAAACTAAGCCTGACATGTTCAGGCTCAGAACAATTCTTAGAAGAGACAACAGCCTGATCAAAACAAAAATTATTTGCTCTGGCTGTTTCAAAGGATTCTTTTAGTTGATTTGAATCAGAGCTCACAAAAGAAATATTATCTGTGAATTCTTTTCATTAAAGTAGCAGCCACAGTGATACATTTTACAAAAGTTACAGCTCCCTTAAGTAAAACCTTAAAAAAAAAAAAAGTAACTAGAAACAAAAGTAAAATAGAGTAGTAGTCATGACAATTCAATTTGTAAATCGCCTTCACAGAGTAACATGGTGAGGTCCCAACTTGTTGCTAATACAAGGAAGACAGTATTTTGTCATTGAGCTGTATGTATCTTTTAAAATCAGAACATGGGAAGTATCTCTAGACTGCAGTTTGTGCCTTGTAGGCTATCACTTTAAGCTGTGTTCTTTCCTTGTGGTTGAGTCATTAAGGAACTCTGTTTGAGGATATTGGTGGTACACAAACATGCTTCCTGTTTCAAGGCTGTTTTAGAGTGTCATTTGACTCTGAAAAGCAAATGTGTTCCAGAACTGAAAGTAAAATTGAATTAACCAGGTTTTATTCAGTGGCATTTACAATTGTGTCTGGTGTAAGAGATTAAGAATTAAAATGTAGTAGAGTATCCTCTAGCTTTGTTTTCTTGTGACATTTGGTATGCACCTTCTCTGTTTTGTACAAGTAAGGCCTGCTGCCCCGCCCCCACTCAGAGTTGTAAACATGTCCTTTGGTATTGCATTGGTGTCTGCAGTGTGTTACTAATTATAAAAGCCCGTCACATGCCTTTCACTTCACCTCAAGAACCTCATCTGACTTTGAAGTGCTGCATCAGTACCCTGAGATGGAGAGCCTGGGAGTGAGGCCCCTGTTTTCTTTGTGGCCCTGCAGCACTCCCTGGCACAGCTGGGCCCTGCCCGGTTGAGGCCCCACAGCCTTGGGACCCTGGATACTACAAAGCAGCCAGGAAGTAGTTCCTGTAGAGAATATGTAGTTCTCAAATTTAGCCAGCATCAGTTGTGAAAATTGTGTAAAAAATGTTGTTCTGAAATATTAAAGTTTTTTATAACTGAGAAGCGTATAAGGTAACATACACAGATTGAAATTTGGTTTTAAAATTATCTGAAGCTTAAGGCTGAATTGGAAAGGGACAGTGATACATAATGGTTTGCTTCTTAATATTAAAAAATAAAAATTTGCTATGTTAATTTGTATGAGTACATTTTAAAAATATATTTTCTCTCACATTGACAATGTAATGAAGTCGTTTATAAATTAACTAAATTTTATGTGAATGCTAAAAAATTAATAATATCTAAATTCAGACTAAAGCTTTTTGAAATCAAGATTAAATTTTCTGTTCTGTATAAGAATTTTCCCCAAGATAACATTATTTAAAGCCATTTGTTAATGCGATTATTAAATGTATTTTAAATGGCTTTTATGCTTAACTTGTGGTAGTAATAAATTTTAATAGCAAATGGTACATAAATAGTTCAGAGTAAAACATAACAGATTGACTTTTACAGTTGTGTATTGAAGTGTAGCATGACCAGGTAGTCACAGATACTGGTGTACTTCTTCTTTTCCCTTTTGGGATTTAGTGATATCAGTTTTTTGTTTTTCTGATAATATAAAAATGTACAAATAAGCTTATGTTAATGACAAATTGCATCTTAACTTTTTCTTCTTTATTTGATTTATTTATAGGTGTTGACTTTAAAATCAAAACTGTAGAGCTAAGAGGAAAGAAAATTAGATTACAGATCTGGTAAGTGGAGAATCTGCACCCAATAATTGCCATATGTGTTTAACAGTCCATACGCTTGTCTAATAAAATTAACCATCTGAGCTGGTTTGCCTCTCCTACTTTTCCTCTCATTTGCTCATGTTTAAATAAAATGAGTGTGTGAGAGAGAATTTAGAAGAGTCTCTTTATTTCATACTCCATTTGCACATGGGGAGTTGTGGAAAAGAAAAACGTTACTTTAATGATCGTTTGGAGCCTTTATGCCTCTGTTTTCAAATCATTTGACAAAACTGTCATCACTAAAATGATTGCTCAAGTGTTCGTCTTCATGTTTTTAAAGTTATTTTTTTGTTTAGTATTCAAAGAAAGTCCAGTATGTTTCTAACTAGATTTGCACAGATTCAAGGCAGATCGCCTATAGACAGTTCAGGGACTGTCCTTGGTGACACAGTGCCCCCATTAATGCCAACTAGAAATGAATCCACAGCCCCTTTCTCACATTATTCTCGTGCGAGAGACCAAACCAGCTGTGTTATAACTGTGTTCAGCTCTAAGAGCTTCCTGCTGGCTCTTCACAGCCCACAGTGGGCTTTGGGGAACCAGTCTGTGGAGAAAGGGTCAGGTCTGGTGGTGGCTTCAAAGCACCCTCTGCGGTGTCCTGAGAATGCCCTTTTGTTTTTAACGACATGGCTGCAGTGTACTTGGCTCACTAACTCCTCTCGGCAGGTCAACCCTCGCTCTGAGTGTCTGTCCACCATATGTGTGTTTGCTTTCATCTGCGTTAATTGCTGCCTCATCTGTGGCGTCATCGGTCACCTAATGCTTGAATGTTAGTGCCATGCCTTCATTCTTCATCCGTGTCCCTGTCTGGGGCACAGCTGCAGCCGAACCAGCCTTGCTTGCCCACCGGAGGTGTCTGAGGTAATATCTTCATTTGATCATCTGTGACTATGCAACCCACTTTAAGAAATTGTTGGGTTTCGTTGGGGTTTTTTGTTTACTATCTTTGTTTTTCATATTTTGGTTTTTGACTTGATTATGAAACATTAAGCGTCTTGCCTAAATACTTAATAAGAAAAAAATGGATTGTTTCTTATTATATTAGCCCATGATTGGAAAGGCAGCAAACTGTTTTGTGTAATGCTTCCAATTTTTTGAACTCTGGAAATGGCAGCGAGTATCTTTGACATGAGCAGCTATTTCTAATTATAAGCTCTTTAATGTAAAGACCATCTTTAAAAGGAGTCAGAGTATGTCTAGTTCTGTACATAGCACTTGTGGGTGAGACGTTTTGGTGGAGACTTCCTCACGAAGGAGATATAACTAATATTAGAACATTCGAGAAGCTGGCTTAGTGGATGACAGCAGTGTCTAAATGATGACACTGTGGTGTATCTAAAAAGACGTAGCTTAAAGAATGTACTAATACTACAGTACCACCTCAGGCAGTAGTAATCTGATGTACAAAAGCGTGTCCGAATGCTCTCTGCCTCCCTGGAGCTCTGCCCACTGAAGTCTGTGCTGGTAACATTGGGTGCTTCTGGAATCTCACTGTTGTACCTTTGAATCTGATCTAAGAGAGCCCTGCGTTATGGATCCCAGTCCATGGGGGAAAGTGTGATAGTGCAGTTCTGAGAAATGCATGGGACACTCCGAAAATACTGTCTTGGATGTAAAAGCGTTCCCCCAGATAGTTCCTCCTCTGCTTCTCCTTGGCTTATCACTCCTCAGACTTCATTCTCGATATTTTCAAAACTGTACAACATTGGTGAAGAATATAACTAAGGAAAGAAAAATTAGATTTAATGTATTGAAAGACCGATTGCACATTTCCTATGGGGAATACCCCAGTGATGTAGTTAGGAAGTAGGACTTGTCTTTTCCTTCAGGAAGAGACATCATTATTATTATCCAGTAGGTAGAAAGGAAATATTGGAGTCATGGTTCATTATTTAAAGTTAATACCCAGCTTATTTTGGAGTCCTTATGCTGTTTCTTTGTAATTTGTTTTGTCATTGCCATGTTGTCATCACTTTAGTGTCACCAGTTGAGAGGATAGGAGGAGCCAGTGTAATTGCAAAGAGCTCTTCAGAGCAACTGCTGATGACAGCTGTGCTCCGATTTTTAGACTGTCATCCATGGAAGCATTGCCAGTCATTGCACTTTTTCTTGATGATTTCTGGATATAGCCAGTTTAAGCTAAAATATTATTTACTATAGATTCCAAAGGTTTAAGGTACCAAAAGCTACAGATGTCATTGTCACATTTTTAGGCCACACTTTACATCATTGCCACATTTTTCAGTTCTTTCATTATCTGTGGTTAGAAAAAGGACCAATTTCTCATCTCTGTAAAGTGTTTCTATACGAATGTATATAAGAACTTATAGTATGACTAAAATTAAAATGTGTCTACTAGAATATAGTTTCATGAATTTACACCCAAACGCTATCCTGGAAATTATACACGGTGACTTAGAGTCATTGAGTTGAAATGGGCTTGAAGCCATGTCTCCTATCTTTAGGCAAACAGAGAGTTAAAATGCTTCCTATAAGGGCCCCTCATTTTGTCCATCATACCAGTCTTCACTGTTGGGGAATTTGGTTTTCACCAGTGTTCTTATGTTGACACAAAACTCCTTTCTTTTCATTCTGTGCTTGAAAGAGGTAGAGCACTTCATGTACTGAAATTGGTTCCTGCCCTTCAAATGAGTAATTGTGTCATTTAACTGGAATATTAAATACAACAAGAATCTTCGAATGTTCAAAGCATCATTTATTTATCAGACTGAAGAAACAGAATTACAGGAATTTTTCAGTTTGCACCCAAAGCAGAGAAATAGTAACATCACATGCTAACTATAGTGATGATTTAGCTGACATTATTAATAAACTGCAAATCTCTAGAAATTGGCTCTTTATCGCCACATTAAAAATTCAGGTTCATGGAGATCAAGAGGGGAAATATTAGGATGCTGTATCTTTATAGAAAGATCAAAGCGTGATCAGATTGGTATCATTATCTAATTTTTTGAAAAGTAGAAATTTGTATGCGATTTTTTGGTACTGGCATATAGTAGACATTTAATATATACTTGTTGAACTGAATCGACATTTCTTTTTTTAGTTTTTATTTTATATTAGTTTCAAATCGACAATTCATTTATCCTGTTCTTTGACCATATATGATAGCAGATAATTTAGTAGGGGAAATAAATCAAGCAATTGAGCTTTTGAAAGAAATGGTAAATAAAAAATTTTCATGACCCAAATATTTTGGAAATATGGCCTAGTCTCTTACAGGAAGATGCTTTTCTGCCTCAAGCATTCAGAGCCAGGCATAAAAAGATGGAATTTAAGGAGTGGCCTTAAATGGAAAATGGCGAACTCTTAATGTTTTCTCATTGAAATTTTTGTAAACTAAACTTATTTGCTCGTTTATTTGTGGTAGAATGATTGCCTCAGATTTTGCGTTTAGAAGTCTATGTCCTCTTTTGGTATGTTTAACTTAAAAACAACAGAGACAACTAACTTCTTAACGTTTCTGAGATGCCTCAGTATGCTACTCATGCAACAGGTTTTTTAAACTATATCAAAATGCCTTTGATTGTTGGATTTTTATTAAAACTTCTTTTAGATCTGCTGTACAACATTGTATCTATAGATAACAATAGTGTATTTTATACTTAAAAATCTGTCAAGTGGATGGAACTCATGTTGTGTTCTTTCCACAATAAAATAAAAATAACTTTTCAAAAACTTTTATTATTTCTAATTTCTCTATTCTTCATCCCCAATTTCTGGATTCTAATTCATTGAATATGTATAGAAATTAATGTGAAGTTGATTTACACTAAAAGCCAGCTTAAAGTTACTGAGAATACAGATTTATAAAATGCTCAGTGAAGATCTTATATCTGATTGCTGTTTAAATTTGTGGCGCAGCTCTATTGTGCTAACCACAGATTTTAGAGCAGAAAAATGTGTATTATTTTTGCTTTTTAAAGTAATCAATGAGAGATGTTATTTCTTAAAAGTATTCAAATAGCACAGAATATTTTTTAATCTTTAAAATATTAAAAATATTTGATCAAACCCTTATGTCAACAAGCCACAACTTGCGATAGGATGGCAAACCACACTATGAAAGATTTGGTTCTTTATTGGTTCGAAAGTATTAATTATGCCCCTAAATGCCGAAGATTCCAGAAATAATTTTATTCATTGATTCCTTGTGTAAATGAAATGATATCTGAATCCTTTTCACCTATCTCGAAGGTTCTTATTAGTGTGGACTTTAAGTTCTTTTTAGAAGTCCTAAAGAATTCAGTTCTGATCTTTCATATTCAATTTTTCAATTCTTTGGCAGTTCTGGGTCAGAAAAATTAAGTTTATTTTGCTTTGAAATGACATAAACTTTCTGCATTTTACACCTGTAACCTTTCGTTCAGCACATGTTCCTGACAGCCCACTCTGGGCCAGGTGCACTGCTGGACCCTAGTGGACAAAACAGAACAGCCCTCTGGCCCTTCCAGTCAAAGGCAGCAGGGTTGTTACACCTTCTGGAACAAAGCAGATGGCTTTGCTTTTTATGTGAAAATGAATTTGTCAACAAGCCTTTTTGGGTTGTTTGGGTTTTTTTTCTTTTTTCTTTTTATTCTTTTTTTGTATAATATCAGTAATGTGAACTAATTGGTGGCAAGTCCAGGTCAAACGAAGCCATAAATTATAGCGCCTTCACCAAAGGGTGTTTTAGGGACAAGTTCCACAAGGTGCACCTCAAGGGAAGAGGTGTTTGGGAAACGTTGCACACTATCACCCTCACCCCCGAAACTCACACTGCTGTGCCACAGGCTTTGAGTGTCCTTGCAGTGAAGAACCTTAGTTTTGTTACTCCCTTGCCCCCAGCTTACTCTACCATGACCTCTGTGGCACCTGGGACTATGCTAGGAGTTACGGTTTTTTGGGAAAAGCTAAATTATAGGTGATCTTTAAAAGAAATTTAAATTTCCTAATCAGAAGCTCTGCTCTGTTGAGCCTCATTTGTCTCAAGCAGTTTTCATTGCTTATTAAATGGGGAAAATAGGTCTCAGCCAGCTTCTGAACACACTTGGTGTGCTTATGTCATTCTTCATGTTGAAATGGTCAGCTTCAGCCTGGAAAATAAGTTGTTCTTAGATTTCAAAGTAGCAGTCAGAGAATAATGAACTTTATTGTATTCGCAAACCTGTTTGGTATCTCCTCCTCTCCTTCTCTTTGACCACTTACTCAGTTTAGTCTATAGCATTTTTCATTAGTAGGGGATTCTTATCAACAACTGAGGCTTTAACCAGCCCTTGAGGTTGGTTAAAGGAGAGTTATAGGCTTAAATAGTTTAAGTTATTTTCCATATGTGTTCTCCTCATTGATGACTGCCTCCCATAAAAGGGTATTACATTTTCCGCCATTTTGCACCTCAGGAAACAGCTCAGTTCAGGAAGGTCACGTTCTCCACAGAAGCAGGAATAGCACCCTGGCACCCGGGACTCTACAGGGAACTGCACCAGCCCTGCTTGCTGGAGCAGAGCTTATCAGAAATAGCTGTTATCCAACCCAAATAGGACTCGAGTCAGTGCTTTTGAGGAAATTAGGGAAGTAACAGCATTTATATCCGTTACTATATCAATTTATAGAAGCAAAATACCTAGAAAAACCGACTTGAGCTTAATACTTTATGACTGAAAACAGTCTAGTATCAGCCCATTACTAACTCTCTTCATCTTTGCTGTTCTTTTCCTGTCCTAACAATTTTCCTCAGTGTAGATTGGGGACTTAGAGTCTTCTAGAACAAAGTCTATGGTTTTGTGGGGGAGAAAGGTTGGTCACATGCACTTGTGTAATTTATAGTATTAAATTACCTCATACTTTTATAATTCTTGAATGTTAAAAAATTCATTATAAAGCTAACTGACTCAATGAGGTATAAGTTTAGAAATCAAAAATTACTTTTATGCTTAATGATATTTCCGCATGAGTTTTCACATTGGAAAAACATTTTATTTGAAAAAATTAAAATTTTGCTATGTACGGTATTTTAGCATCTTTAAATTATGTGGAATCTACCTTCTTTGTCTCCTACCCTTTATTTTATTTTTGCCATGAAATTCTCATTTTTTTATTTTCAAAATCTTGATTTGAAAGAAATTGGGACTTTATGTTTTTGTTTGAAAGTAAATCAGAAAAGCTATCCCCCTTGCTTAATAATATGAATATGCACAGAAGGGATGAGTTGCCAGGTGACTTGGAGGAATCCTGTTGGGGCTACTGCTGTCTGTTTGCAGTGGAACATGAAGTTGTTCACAATGGTTATTGTTTGGGAACTGATTTTTTGCTGCTGTTTCTTAGGGACACAGCAGGTCAGGAGAGATTCAACAGCATTACCTCAGCTTATTACAGAAGTGCCAAGGGGATCATATTAGTATATGATATTACTAAGAAGGAGACATTTGATGATTTGCCAAAATGGATGAAGATGATTGATAAGGTAGGTGTTGCATTTTTCTCTCAGATGTGAACTCTTCATGGGTATTGATCCTTATAAAAGGAAGAAGGAGAAAACATATTTACGAAGCTTGCTTTTACACACTACACATTGTTTAATCTATACTACAATCAAAGTAGGTATATATGTCCATTATCCAGAATCAGCTTAAAAATAATAAAATCGGGGTTTTCATTCTGGTACCATGGGCTCTCTGACTTCAACGCCCAGATGTGCTCATTCCACTATCAGGCCGCTTCCGTGGAATTGGGTGTGGGACATTCTCATTTCTGCAGAAAGTTCACTTGGATACTCATCTTGTAAATGACCACAGAGGAGATGGCCTTCTCCGCAGTGCCTGTAGACACTCCAAGGGCCTTGGTCATCCACCGGACATCTGCCCTTAAAATTATAGATGTCCTTTAGTTCCTCATTTTACCCTTTGGCTCATGATTTACTATATATAGATAACCTGTGTCTATATGATTAACGTAAACTGTGAGTTTCTATCTAAGAAATGTGTACCCAGAATACACACTTAGAAGACGACAGTTGGGGGTGAGATGTGGTGGTGTACAATGACTACATTTAGAGAGTTTTATTCTCTTTATGCAATAATTTGATGTTTAGTTCTCTTGCATAACAAGCACACTCAATATGTTATAAATTGTATTAAACCCATCAGTTAGATAATGTTGGAGAATGTTTGCCAATTTTACCAAGCCTGTTATCAGTGTGTGCCTCTTTAAAATATGTTAGGTACCAGAGTTACCAGGGTTACAGAGATGCCTTAGGACCTGAGCCGGCCCTGCCCTCAGCCTGCTCACACTCAGTTATCTCTCATACCTGGGCTTGGGCTCTGTGATGGCGTGTTGCTGAAACTGATTTCCTCCCGTGCTAAAGCCACAGAGTGTGCTCCTAAGGAAATTTAAAAGGGCAGTCCTCGTTGCTGGTTAAAATTTTTGGAATGTAATGAATTTAAAACCAGAAGCAATGCCCTCAACTCCGAGGGCCCCATTAGGTACTTGTGTTTGTGAAACCTGCTGAGGTCTTGAGATCTAGTGCTCTCCTCTCTTGCATACTTGACTCTTGCTTTTTCTTTTTTCTTTTTTTTTTTGAGGAAATGTCGTCATTTCTTAAGTGCTTTTTGTGTACCAGGCACTGTTCTTATTCCACACCAGCCTGTTACTCTTACCTGTACATAATTGATAAGAAGACCAAGACCCTGAATAACTTGGCCAAGGTCATGCCATTCAGGTTCCTTTTGCTGCAGTCTATCTCAAATGATTTTTTAGAATACTCCATTGAGTTATTCAAGAGATTTTAACCTTTTTAAAGAGAAATTCTGTTGTGCCTATATATTTTTAAAAATTTAGAAATGTAGCTTAACTATTTTCCTGATTCCTCTTTATTATAGAAAATTTGGAAAATCAAGAAAAGCACACAAGTAAATTTTAAAAATTTATAATTCTGCCATCCTAAAAAAAAACAAATTGTATTCACACTCCATTTAGTGTTGCATCCTTATTTCACTAAATATTCTATTATGAAGGGCCTTCCTGTATTATTAAGTGTTCTTCCAAAAGCATATTGGTTTTCCTTTTTTTATGGCTGAATTATTTTATATGCCTTAACCTATTTTATTCTTCATCTGTTTTGTTGGACTTTCAGGTTTTTTGATTGATTATCATTTTAAATATAGAGCTATGCCTTAATTTGAATTATTTCCTTAGGGTGGATTCTAAGGAATTATTGGTCAAAGGCTAAGAACACTGTGGCTCATAGTGCCTGTTACCACGTTGCTTTCTAAAACCGTGAGCCCTGTGAGAACCGTCTGTACACCACAATAACCAGTCCTGCCTGGGACAGAGGAGGTGCTCAAAGATTTGTGGAGTGAATGAACAAATGAATGAAAAATGTTAGATTGGTTTACATTTCCTGTCAGCATATGACAATGCCCATCTTTGAAATGCAGCTTCTTTTAAAATTCCACAGTATGCTTCAGAAGATGCAGAACTTCTCTTAGTTGGAAATAAGTTGGACTGTGAAACTGACAGAGAAATCACCAAACAGCAAGGTGAAAAGGTGAGAGACACGTGGGGAGCTGAAGAGAGAAGTCACAGCCCCACACTGTGTACATTTAGCAGTTGATACACTTTTAACAAGTGACTTATTTTTTTAAATTATGAAACAATTACATAGTTATCACTCAGTCACATCCTTCTCATATATTTGCTTTTTTTTAACTTTCTGCTCCCATAAATCCATTTTGAAATGGAAGGAAAAAACCATGTTAGTATATGCTGCATTATTATCTAACCTGGCATTTTATACAGAGAAACATTTTATTTAAAACGTAAAATTGCTTTCATGATTTTCTCTTACTCCAATGTATTTTAACCTTCCTTGGAGAATCAGTGATATTCACATTTTAAATGTCAGATACGTGACAGTTTCAGACAAGAAAGTTCCAGTATCACTGTAGAGATTTCATTTTTTATTTACTTAAAATATAGGAATTTGTTGTACTCATGAACTTTATAGTTGAGCGTAAATGAGACTTCACAAATTTTAGTCCACCTCTTCTCTTGAAGTCCAAAAGGTTATGCCTCCCCCAGTCATAGGCCTTATGCTCATACATTAGACTAAGTTGTACCCATGAAGAAAAATTAATATTTTTTCTTAGTTTGCACAGCAGATAACTGGGATGCGGTTCTGTGAAGCAAGTGCCAAGGATAACTTCAATGTGGACGAAATATTTCTGAAACTCGTCGATGACATTCTGAAAAAGGTAAAAAAAGAAAAAAGAAACTACGTCATGAAATTATTTCATCTGAAACCTGTTTCCTGTATTATTTCTTGGTTGTAAAGTTTTTTATTTCAAAAGCGAGTTACCGTAGTTTTCCTTAGACTTAAGAACCAGGTGACATTGTCACCTCGGCCAGAGGCATCCAGGTTGCTGTTAGCAGCAGCTGTTTCCCATCTAGCGGTTTTCAATGTCCTTGGTATTGATGTCCAGTATGTATTTGCTTAGCTTTAAATATGGTTTGGTAGAGTAACTGGAGCCAGTATAACAACGTGCCATGTTTATTTGACATTTGCGCTTTTTTTTTTTTTCCTGTTTTTCCACAAGGATTAAGTTAGATACAGAGGGTCGAAACCTAGTGAAATGTGCAAGAGAGTATCTCAGCTGAGAAGCCCCAGTCCTTGCCTCACTCAAAGCTTTGCTAACAGGAGCCTTTTACTGCCAAGGCCTTTCTGTGGTGCTTAATGCTAGGGAAATTGCTAGACAGCTCCACTGAACAGCAGCAATTTCTTCAGGCATCTTTAGGCTTACATTCAAAGGCTTTTTAGCAAGAACTTTATGTTGTTATTACATATAATCTGCTCAGTTCAGACTTAATTCAGAAGCTTCTAATAAAATGGTTGTTTATATAATTGCCAAGAGAGGTTATTTCTTTCTTCAGTAATAATATAACCCCCGAGAATGCAGAACAGTTTTTTCATTTATTAATGCCTTTTTTAAAGTTTCTATTATATGAGATTATTAAAGTACACGTTTATGATGAGGTCCATCTTGTCTCTTAGACCAGAGGGTATGAGATAGGCTGGACAGTATTTGTGTTGTGACGTGATACACTCTGAACCCAGTTTTTGTTTTTTTGGCTTAATATTTGAATGTTTAATTAAATTTCAATGATTGGAGAGCTTTATATAAAAATACTTTATTCTTATGTAATTATACGATTTGTGAAGCACTTACATATATATTGTATAGTTAAAATGCATTTGTCTTTTGTTTATCCTGAAGATGCCCCTGGATATTTTAAGGAATGAGTTGTCCAATAGTATCCTCTCATTACAACCAGAACCTGAGATTCCACCAGAATTGCCTCCGCCAAGACCACATGTGCGATGCTGTTGATTTGCTACTTTGGAGAAAAAGTGGAAACGATTCCTGGAAAGGGGAAAATGTTCTATTCTGCACTACAATCATTTTGACAATTTCCTTTCGCACTTTGTAATCCAAGTCAGAGCTATACACTAACTTGTAAATATGCAAATATGCAATCCTGGGTAAGTTTTGGTTATAAATTACATATTTCCCTCCAAAATTATATTTCATTCATTATCCCAGTGTCTAGTGTACATACACTGGGAAACGTAGTACTTCTAATATGAAGAATGGGAGAAATGAAAGGTATAATGTTTCTTGAAATAAATAATATAATTGTTTTTGTTAATTATATTATGAGGACAAAAGATATTCTAATAAGAAGAAAGAATGTGGTGCTTTGCTTACTGTTTTAAGGAAAATTTATAAAACTAAAGACTTTTTTTTTTAAGCTATCTTTAGTGCTTTTTCTTTATTCACAAGACATTTCCCCCAGTGGTAGCACCTTTGAAGTATGGGAGTGTTTCTACCACAAAGCAAAAGCTCCATTCATCACTGTCATTGAAGGTTATTTATTAATGTTACGTAATGGTAGAATATTACTAGTTAGAAGGTAGGATTTGACTTGGCCCTGAGGCCTCAGAGTCTCTCTCACAGTTTCTGAATGGACATACCTTATGCTTTTAAGAACTACAAAGATTCAATAAAGAAAGAAATGTTTTGAAACTATAGAAGATTTTAAAACAACGCTGCTGTCCTAAACAAATCCTGTTTAAAGGAATTTTAAAGAGATACATTTTACTATATCAAAGAACATACACGTATTTGCCTAAAAAAGTCTATACCTTTGTGAAAATAAAACTGCTCCCCTTTATGATGAAGCTTATCCCCGTTAAGCCTAGACCGTGTTCAATTTTTTTTTTTTTTTGGGTCTGATAATGAATTTGTGAACTCTATCTTTGGTATATCTTTTCTTAAACTGCACTGTTTTGTTTAGTCAAGATAAATAGGTAATTATGTATTTGAATAACTTGGTGTGTCTTGAGTGTTGTGATATGAAAAGCATTGTGGTCTTTCTACACTAATGAAGTGCAAATAAAATTTTGTATTTATGAATGACAGTTGAGTTGCCACATTTATTTGTGTAATTATAAACTGAATATCTGGCAGTTCTCTTCATAAACACCACCTCTTAAGCTTTTGAGTGTTTTAGACATGAAAAATAATGTCCTTCGTGTGGGAAAAGTAATTTGGCAGTTTTTCAAAAGGTTAAACACTACAATATGACCCAGCACTTCTGCTTCTGGGTATATTCCCCCCAAAAATTGAAAGCAGGGACGCAAAGTGTTCATAACAGCATTATTCACAATAGCCAAAGGTGGAAACATTGAAATGTTCATCACTAGATCAGTGGATAAACAAATCATGTGTTCAAACAATGGATTATTATTCAGCTTTTATTAAAAGGAAGGAAATCCTGATATAAGCTGCAACATGAGCGAAGTGTGTTATGCTAAGTGAAATAAGCCGATCACAAAAGGACAAATAGTGTATGATCCTACTTACATAAAGGACCTAGGATAGTCAAATTTGTAGAGACAGGAAATGGAATAGTGGTTGCCAAGGGCCGAGGGTGGAGAAAGTATAGAGTTAGTGTTTAATTGGGACATTTAGTTTGGGATGATGAAAAAGTTCTGGAGCTGGATGGTGGTGATGGTTGCACAATAATGTAAATGTACTTAATGCCACTAAACTAAATGGCTAAATATATATTATATCCTCAAGGAAAATTTCTTTTTAGTATATGTGCTGCCAAAGCAAGCACAAAATTTCTAATGTACATATCTTTTGTTATCCAACGGTTAATTATGGATTGTTCCAATTGTTTACCCATTGTCTCACCTCCACACCTGCCCTCTGTGCTCTACTTCTCGGGGGCTGAGACTCTAAAGGATTTGTGAGACCCTCCTGCTCTTCATGTTAAACCTGCTGATGGGACAAACTTTAAGAACCTTAGAAGGAGAAAAGAAGGGGTTTGCTTGCAATTTTTCTATTTTGTCAGCCTACTGTGGTAACATCTGGCATTCAGCTTAAGCTTCCTAATTCCTGTGCTTCCCCCAACACACACCCCCAACACACACACACACACACCGCCCCAGCTTCAGCTCACTGCACCTCCTTTGGGAGGTAGTAGAACATTAGGACTGGTCACCATTCTGCCTGCTGGGCCACACCCCACGCCATCCCAGCCCCTGCGAGACTGCCCTCCTACGTCCTTGAACCTACAGGATCCTGCGCCTGCTCAGCATCTGCCACACCCCTCGGAAGCTCAGCCTCGTAGGGTCCTTCCCTTGAGCACTTACGTTTTGGCAACACTCCCTCTCCCTTTTTGAAGCCCCAGCCCTGGGAGTAGCAGTTGCTTCCTTCGGTTGTTGATTACTGAGCTGCCTTAGCATTCCCTCCTTGTCAGTTTAGGATTTTAAAAACTCTGTGGCTAGTTTCCTGAATTAAACCCTTCTGTTTAAAGATGCCTCTTTTGTGTCTTTTTCCTCTGACTCCTTAGAGTACTTGGTAGCAGGAGTGGTCTTAGGAAAGAACCTCAAAGGTGAGTTTAAGAAAAAAATGTTCATTTGCCCTGGGCATTTCAGGAATTAATTCAGTGGTTAATTCAGTAATCTGAGGTCTGTTTCACATTTACAAATCAATCTTAGCTACTGCATTTGGGCCTATCAGCTGTAATACCGACAGAAGTGCTGTTCTTGTTCAGTAGAGTAGTATGGGGATTAAATGTGTGACTTTGCAAGAAGTCAGTGTGGTTTATAGCTCAAGTTTGATTACATTTTTGTTCTCTGGTTTTCCAGTATACTTGTAGGTTTTTTCTCCACTAAGTAGGATTTCGTGACAGTAGGACTAGGACGTACAGTTTCTGTATTGTTATCCTCCACAGCCTTTTAGGGACTAGTTATTATTCATTATCCATTTTGTGGGTGATCTCATGACTGGTGTCTTGTCTTGCCCATGTCATGGCCCAATAAGCCATCATGGGATAAGCTGAAACTCAATTTCTTCTCTCTCGATTTTTAAAGAGAACTCTATTAAACAGTTTAAATAATACATTATGTTTTTATAGCTTATTGTCTTATATTAGTATCTCATTTGATTCTCACAGAAACTGAGATGAGTAGACAGGTGTAAAATGAATGTTGACTTATCCATGTAGACGGAGAGGAATGAAATCCAAGAAAGTACAAATTAAAACCCAAGGTCTATAGATTTCATTATGGCCAAAAATCATATTTTCAGCCTGTGAACTTGATATTAAACTTAGTTGGCATTCACCTTCATGGAGAATTAATAGTGGATTGAATTACTTTGAAGGCAGCAGGGAATTAACAGAGTTCTGTATGTACAGATCTCCATCCCTTCCTGTTTTTACCTTCTAGATCTTGAAGGGCTATTTCAAATGTGTAGGCAATTTTATTTAATGGTTTAAAGTTTCGAATTTTGAAATGGTGAGTATTATTTGATGGCACAAAACAAAGAAATTAATCTTACTTGTTTCTAGCTGAAAAATTCCCTAAAGTTAGTCAGGTGTTTTGGTTTTTTTCCCATGAGTAGCTTACATTACCAGGGAGAGAGAGTACTTGTATAGATTATTTATTGCTAGAAGTTGTAATTAGGCCCACAGATTGCAGTTATGGGTGCGTCAGGACATGATATACTGACGACAGACTTATTCTTTATGTTGCAACACTGTAGTTAACAGATTTGAAATGTGTTGTGTAGGTGCTCCATGCAAGGCCCTGTGTTTGGGTGCTGCAGGGGATATGACTGAGATACATACGACAGTCACTGCCCTTAAGGAGTTCATCAAGTGCAAAAGACAGACTCATAACTGGAGTACGAGTCAGAGCTTCTGTCACAAATGGACAGATACCTGGGAAGCAGGAGGCAAAGCCAAGGCCAGTGTGGGGAACTGTGGAAAGCAGGGGAACATTCGTCCTTGACCTTCAGGAATGAGTAGGCTGTTGACTGGTGGCAAGCAGACATAGTGACAGTGTATTCAAAAACCAAAGGGACGCACTGTAAAGAGTAGACTACACGGTAAAGCATGCATTGCTAGCTGTCCCAATGGGTTATAGCTTCCTAAATACTTGGCTGCCTCTTGCAAATGTTTGATTAAGCCCGTTCTCATAGATAGAAGGTAATTACTGGCAATCTAGTTGAACTGGACACACATATGTCAATCCAATAAATTTACAACTTTACTGAAAAGATTCTGAAAATCTGCCTTTGTATTTTTAGCAAGGGTAAGCTGATGAGTTCCATTCATTTATGAGCCAGTCAGCTCTGTTCCATAGGCTTAAATCATAACCCTGTGACAAACTGAGAAGAGGGTAAACCAAGCCCAAATGTATCTGCTATTAGCAAATGACACTCACCACACGCACCCAGTGAGTGAGATGGAAATGTCTCCTCAGTGCCACCACCTAACAAAAACAACAGGAGCTCTCAAAGCAGTGAGACCTTCATCACTACTATCCAGGGACTGCAGGGGCTGGGTGTTTAACTCTTTGATGGGCAAGATTAACAATAAAATCCCTAATTTTACTAGACCTTTTTCTTTAAAAATATGTAAATCTTTCTGATGTCACCCCAAGTAAAGTTCAACAAATGCTTGTGGTTAAAATGAGGTGCATTTCTTTATATCAAAGAAGAACATGTTTCTTTTAAGACAGAAATAAATGATGCTACCCCACAGGGCAGATTCTTTCCAGTTCTGAAGCTCTGAGGAAGAGACTATGGTCTCAGGGTGACAAACCCACCGGTCCTAAGGAGTCATCAGCTTTACCTTTAGTGTCAGCTAGTTAAACCCACACTTAACTCCCGGGGTCCCTCAGCCCAGTGAGGATCTCTACCCAACTTGTTAAATTACTCTTTAACTCAGAAAACAACTTTCATTCCATAATTCAAAGCAAAGCATTTTAGTATAAGTAACTAGCTAGTTTGGATTCTCATCAAATTGTAATCTGTCGTTTACAAGTATAAATAACTGGATATTAGATCTTGTCTTGAATTGAGCAGGAGAGAGCTGGGAGCAGGAAGGCATTGGGTACCTGTAGGGGAATTGTGAAAATAAGATAGGAAAATGGTTTAGAAAGAAAACAAAGCCAAAGAACTGGGCCGACTTCCATTTGGATCTGTCTTCCTTCCTCCGGCCTGGAACAGAACTATCGGACATTCACATAGGCGGACTCCTCAAGGCCCTGCCAATCCTCACTCTCAGATGGCCCACCTCCCACTGCACAGAACATCAGGCACCTAGAGGAGTGTCTGCCCTAAGGGTGCTCTGGATAGAAGTCCCTGCTTGCCACCCAGGCATGGTCCATCCAATACCTCCCCTCTCCCTGTGCATTCAAGTTCGCCCCTTCAGCTAGCACATCCTCTGGACCTAAATTAGCTCTGACTTCCACATATTGAGAAAGCTCTCCTCTATCCCCAGCTGGAGCCCACTGCTTTCCTCTGCAGCTAGTCTTCTTGAAGAATCCATTCACACTTGCTGACTCTGCTCTCACACCTCAGGTTCATTTCTCAGTTCACAGCCGCCTGGCTCCCAAACCACAACTCCGCAAAAACTCTACTTGCCAAAGTCACCAACAACCTGTTTGTGCTAAACTCAGTGGATGAGCATTAGCATGCTTGACATCTCTACAATGCTGAGCACCCAGAGAGACCTTTGGGCCTTGGGACCCCTGAAATAAGACTGTTTCATGAGCAATAGTACAGCACTGGTAGTCAAGAATGTGGCCTTTAAGGCCAAATTGTGTGAGTTCAAATCTTGACCATTTCCCAGCTCTGTAATCATTTGGTAGGTTATTTACTTCTGTGTGCCTCA